CCGGAGCGCTCTCAGAGCGTTCCGGAACGCTCTGGAGCGGCCGCGGCGCCCAATACATCCTCCAGACCCGCCGATTCTCAGAGATTTCGAGTGATCCCGATCCGATGTTGTCCCGATCTTCGCGTCGTTTTAAGACAGCGAGCCCCTTGGAGTTTATGCTCCGACCCCCCAGTGCGGGAGTGTCCTGTCGCGCTCGCAGACAGCTGCCTCCTTCTTGGACGGTCGCCATCGCCGACGCGAAGGATGCGTCCTGTCAGCGTCAGAAGCTGGAGCGGCCGCGCGGCGCCATCGAGGCGGGGCCCTGCTCGGGGCTGCCCGCGGGGCCCGATGGGCACATTGAGCTGACTGCGCCTGCGCGCGGGCTGGGCGACGCCCCGCTGCTCTGGCATCCGGCTCTGACCGATTGGCTGAAGGAACAGGGGTTCGTCAAGTCACTTCTGGAGCCGCGCCTGTGGCTCCGTAGGGGCAGGAGGGGGGCCCCGGAGGGCCCCGTTCTGATAGGAGTGGACGACCTGATTATCACGGGCCGACCCCGGGTTCCAGAGCAGCTTCAGAGACGAGGTGATTCATCGGTCTAAGTTTGGCAAGTGCACGGAGGGTGCGTCCGACTGTGCTGGCCGCCACATCTGTCATTGCCAGGGCCGCATCGTGGTGGGCCCAAAAAAGTACATCAGGGAACAGCGCATTGCGATGCCCTTCGATCGTTCCAGGCGGACCGATCCCGATGCCCTTCGCTCCCCGAGCGGAAGTCCGATCCCATCGAGCCGTGGTCGTCCAGGCACTTGTGGGCCCCGCGGGAGTCGAGGCCCGACGTGGCGGGCGGAGCCTCCATTCTGGCCGGGGCCATGCCGCAGCCGACGGTAAACGATGCCATGACTTTCGTCGAGGTGCGTAGGTGTCTTTCGTCGGTCGACAGCGCCCCGGAGAGTGACCGCCTGGGCCCTGGGCCCTCTCGCTCTGTCTCTGTCTCTGTCTCTGTCTCTGTCTCTGTCTCTCTCTCTTTCTAGTTTTTTTCCTCTCTCTCTCTCTCTCTTTTTTTTTTTCTCTCTCTCTCTCTCTCTCTCTCTGTTTTTTTTTCTCTCTCTCTCTCTCTCTCTCCCTCCCTCTCCCTCTCTCTCTTTCTTTCGTTTTTGCGGCGGCCTCGGACGCCTCGGGCCCGTGGTCCGCGAGCCGTGGGGGGCCCCGAGGCGCCATGGGTCCCCATGGCGGCCGACGCCGCGAGGCGATCGAATTTGGCGTGCTCGGGTCTCTGTCCTCCTCCTCCTCCCCCTCCTCCTCCTCCTCCTCCTCCTCCTCCTCCTCCTCCTCCTCCTCCCCCTCCTCCTCCTCCTCCTCCTCCCCTCCTTCCTCCTCCTCCTCCCCTCTCCTCCCCCACCTCCTCCTCCTCCTCCTCCTCCTCCTCCTCCTCCTCCTCCTCCTCCTCCTCTGTCGCGGCGCTCGCGACGTCTCAAGAGAGGTATCAGTTCTGCCGCGGCGGCGGAGACGCTGGCCCTCAGTGGGGCGAGCCGTCGCGGAGTCCCCGCGGCTTCACGTGCTCTGGCGCGACGCTGTTTCCGGGGGCGCGGGTCGCCTTTCCTGGAGCTCAGGAGCTTCCCCCCGCTGTTGTGGACGCGACGTCGGCGTTTGGCACTCACTCGAAAAACGCTGCTGGTTCTCGATCGGGCCGGCGCAACTCTAGTGAGGTAGCTGCTGTCAGGGACTCGGACTCGCTCTCGGCCGCGGGGCCCCGGGTCCGTCGGCTGCCCCATGGGGAGACGCCGGCATATCCTCTCACTCGCGCCGATCACTCCAAGTCCAATTTCGCACCCCACGGTCTTCCATGCAGAGGAACTCTGCGCGTGGCGGGCGAGGGGTGCCACCTGGGCGAGCGCTCGCTCAACCAGGCCCTGAAATCCCGATCCCGAGGCGCTAGCCGGTATTTATTAATATATAGATACATGTATAGGAAAAAAATTCAGGGGGAAGAGAGGTGGAGAAACCCCCAGGTTGGAGGTCTCCACGTTGCTCGGACTTTGCCAGTCTCGCTCTCGACGTTGAACCTGGTAAAGTTGGGTCCGCTGTCATCTTGTGCTCCCCTTGGGGGGGTGCATCCGCCCCCCCCCTCTCTCCCCTCTTCGTGCTCGGCTGCGGCTTGCAGCCGTTTTGGCGTCAGACGTTGCTCCGAGGAGTCGCTGAGGTGACGCGTGGTCTCTTCTGATCGACACTTTTACCATCCATAGGGGTGCCCAGCGGCGAGAACGGGTGACAACAGAGCGCAGAGAAGCCGGAAACGAGGAAGGAGGAGGAGGAGGAGGAGGAGGAGGAGGAGGAGGAAACGAGGAAGGAGGAGGAGGAGGAGGAGGAGGAGGAGGAGGAGGAGGAGGAAGGAGGAGGAGGAGGAGGAGGAGGAAACGAGGAAGGAGGAGAAGGAGGAGGAGGAGGAGGAGGGGTGGTCTCTTCCGATCGACAAGTTTTTATCTTCACCGAGCTCCCTCGTGTCTTCCCGGGGGCCTCCGTGGCCCGTGCCAGCGCCACGTGAGCCACGTGCGCCACGCGTGCCGCGCGCTCCAGCCGCACTGGGTGCGCCACGTTCGGGGCACGCGCAGAGTGCGCCAATTGTCGGAGGCCTAGAGGTTGACACCAACACCAGTATCGGCGGTGTGCCTCCACCGAGGGAAGAAGATCCCGACCTCGGTGATGGTGGTAACATTTTGGCTTCCAAGGTGGCCGAAAGACTACCACCAACACCGGAATCGAGGATCATCTTCTCCCTGTGGAGGCAACCCCCTGTGTTGGTGTTGGTGCCAATTTCCGGGCCTCCCAAATTGCGCCTGCGCACGTGGCAGACACCTCGGGGAACATGTCGGCCCTCACCACCCTCGTCGAAAACAAGTGCGCAATCGCGGCGGGGTGGCCATCATAGTGTCTGGTGGGCCTGCGCGCAGCAGGCAATATGCTGGCGCCCCCGCCGTCCCAGTCAACAGCCAATGCAGAGAAATCGCAGGGGGGGGCCCGCGAATGATCCAGATTCTGCCTCGACGTGTCTTTTGTCCTTTGTTGACGAATGCTGGCCCTGCGCGCAGCAGGCAATATGCGGGCGCCCCCGCCGCCCCTATCAACAAACAGTCCACAGTGTTTCCGCCACCCCGTCCCCCCCATCAGGACCTAACATTTTCCCACCAAAGTGGGTTTCGCAGTGTTTTTGAACAGAGATGGTGCGGAGAGGTCCCCATTGGTCCTGGTTGGCTGCCAGTCGCCTGGAGGAGGAGGCGTTCATGAAGAGGGAGCAGTGGTACACCCCTCCCCGAAGGGAGGAATGGGGTCGGAAAAGGAAGTGTTGTAAACCACTCGTGCCTGAAAGTGGTGGTGGGATTATGCAGATCCGCCTCGCTCCTCCCCCTTTTCCTTCCCTGACAGGATGGGAACACTCGGAGGATGGGGTGGAGGGGAGGGGAGGGCGGACGAGTGAGGCCGATCCGTATATAGAGGAACGAAGCATGACATGAACATACAAACTCGGAGGTCCAGCGCGGATCCGAGAAGTCCGCGCGGACCTCCGGGTTGTTATGTTTCTGTCGTCCTTCGCTCCCCCTGGTTTACGTGTTCGCTTCCTGGCGCTGGAGAATGCCAAGACATCGGGTGCCTGGGCTCGACCCTTGCGCCTCGGCGCCGCCGGCCGCCGTCCGCTCTTCCCCCCCCCCGCCCTCCGCGCCCCCTCCTCCCCCTCCACCTCCTCCTCCTCCTCTCCTCCTCCTCCTCCTCTCTCCCTCCTCCTCCTCCTCCTCCTCCCCCTCCTCTCCCTCGTCCTCCGCACCTCCCCCCGGCCGCGGCCCGCCCCCAGGTGTCTTCTGCACGTTCCTGGGCTTCTCCGGCCACGTGCCGCCGCCGTCCCCGCTCCCGGGGGGGGGGCGTCCAAGAAGGCGGGGGCCCGGACCCTTCGGCATCGTGAGCAACAAAGCGCGGCAGAAGTCAGGAGGGAAAGAAGCACACAGACACCATCAATCGACGATTCCCCAGAAAATATGGGAAAATATGGGAAGTGGGGGGAAGACAATAACCCAGAACATGTGGAAGATATGGAGAATCCTGTTATTTGTGTGTATTTATTTGTGTGTCCCAAGGCCCCTTCACAGACCTTTTGGCATCGTGAACAACAAATTACGACGGAAGGGTCTTTGCTGTTTTCTGGCTCCTGGGGCCCCCGCCGGGACCCAGGACCGTCCAGCAACGGCTCAGGACGGAGAGCCGGTCCAGGGGAGCGGGTCGAGACTTTTGAGGGTCGACGTGATGAAGAACCGCGACGTTCGAGATCTGGGACTCGGGGAGTGTGTGTGTGTGTGTGTGTGTGTGTTTGTGTGTGTGTGTGTGTGTGTGTGTGTGTTAGTGTGTTGCGGAGCACGCGGCCGCCGAGGAGCAACGTATATGTGTGCGTGTGCCTGTGTCCGTGTATGTGTGCGTGTGCCTGTGTGCGTGTGTCACCATTGCTGGGGCCATGTGTCTCGCCTGCTTCATGCCCCCCTGTTCCGATCACGTGCTTCCCCGTCGGAATAGCCACGACCGGGGCGGTAGACCTTATCCTTCTGCTGCGTTTGTTTTGTTTGTTCCAGCCCGATCTGTGATGGTCCCGGGCCCTGGAACCGGGCGAAATCGCCTGGTGTGAAACGGTGGCAGCGCTTGGACCTCAGACCCCCAACGCCATGATTTTGTCATAACGTGGACCCCCAGGGGTCTGGACCTTTCCAGGGACCTAGGCTCTTCATCCAGGATCGTTTTATGAGCGCTCCCAAGGTTCACTGAAGGCCCCTGGCGGCCGGAAACTATCGAAATCTGTTCGTCAAGATTTGCTCACGACCTGAGGTCTGCTCCCGCTCTGCTCCCTCCCGCTATGCTCCCTCCCGCTATGCTCCCTCCCGCTTGCTGCTCCCTGCCTCCCTCCCGCTCTGCTCCCTCCCGCTCTGCTCCCTCCCGCTTGCTGCTCCGCAGCAGCAGCGCCCGCATACCGGCCACGTGCAGGAGCAGGGCGCTTCGGGAGGCAGGTCCTGGAAGGCCAAAGGTTCAGCATCGGCGCTGTCGCAGGCCTACAGGTTGACACCAACACCAATTTCGGCGGTGTGCCTCCACCGAGGGAAGACGATCCCGATCTCGGTGATGGTGGAAATATTTTGGCTTCCAAGGTGGCCGAAAGATTAACACCAACACCGAAATCGAGGATCATCTTCCCCCTGTGAAGGCACCCTCCTGTGTTGGTGTTGGTGCCTATTTCCAGGCCTCCAATGGCACACCAAAAAAAACGGCGCTGGCACATCCGTGGTCGAACACTGGCCGAACCTGGCAGAAGCCCGCGTGGTCCTGCGTCATCAATCCCGGCCTGTCCCGCCCACTCCATCCAGCTTAGTCGGGCTTAGTCCTGGGCTTAATCTGGGCCGGTCCGGTTCAGTGGCTCACCACCCACCAAACCACCCCAACCCAACCCGAAGGCCCACATTTATCCTCGATTTCCAGTTGCGGGGGGGGGTCGGGGAACATTGAAAAAACACATGGAACCCGTACCCCCCCCAACCCGAAATTCGGGTCAAATTCGGGTCTTCGGGTTGGGTTGGGGTGGTCTGGTAGGTAGTCAGTGGCCTTCCGCAGTGGAGGCCCATGCCAGGAGGAGCACCCTGCTTGCCTCCAGTGTGCCCTGAGAGTCTCGTGGGCTTCCATGGTTTGTCTCTGTGGAAGGCGCGACGGTCCCACGCCAAAAGTCCATGGGCGCCCTGGGGTCTCCGGGTTGGGCTTCCCGTGGACGGTTTCTTGCGGTCGGGCCTCCGTTGTAATCGGGCTCAACCCCTCATCTCGGAGGTTGATCGCTATCGCTATCGCTATCGGCTCGATGTCCTGTCGGACGCAGCCGTCCGCGCGGCCCGAGCTACGCGCGCGCGCCCGAAGCGCATAGGGGGGACCACCCCCCGACACAGACCCCCGCCAGGAGGGCAAAGGGAAAGCCGCCTAGGCTTCGAAAGGGGAGGGGCGGGGGCCGAAAAGGACCGAGAAAACGGGCCCAGGAGTTTCGGGGACGAGCGGCCAGTTCGGAGGTTGATAGACCTCCTACCCTGACACGTCGACTAGTGAATGGGCCGTGTTCGGTTCGCGGGGGGGGCGCCACGGCCGTTGCTCCTGCGGCTCCAGGTCCGCCGGTCTCGGCCCTGGGCCGTTCTCACGGAAGGGTGGTCTCCGAAAGGGAGGCCTGCCCACCGCCGATCGTCGCTCCTCCTGGCATCGCTCGGACGTGTGTATTTTTTCCTCGGCGAGGACCATCGAGGACCCTCCTGGACCATCGACCAACAAAAAAAAACACGCAGGGAACCGACAGAGGCCCGGGAAATGGACGTCCGAGCGTTGCGGCAAGCCCTGCGCAGGCCTCCCCGGAGCTGCCGCCTCCCGACTCGGGGATCTCCTGACCCGGGTCAATCCAGACCCGGGTCGGTCAGCCCTTGCAGAATCCTGCAACATCCTGCAAAATCCTGCACCCAAACCCGGGTCAATGCGAGGGATCCTGCAGGATCCTGCAGGATCCTACACCCAAACCCGGGTCAATGCGACCCTGGCCGTGCAGGATCCTGCAAGATCGGGCGCTCTGGCTGACCCCCGTTTGCATTGACCCCCGTTTCAAGGCTCCCGACCGACGCGCTGGGGCCCTGGCCCGTGCCGCCCGCCGCGGCGGGCGCGGCCCTGCCGCGCGTTGGGGGGGCGGGGCCGGTCGCAGCCTGGGCGCTGCCGGCGTGCGGGCCCGGTGGCCTTCGCCACGAGCACGGCCGCCTCGACGCTGCCCTCGGGGGGCCCCCAAAGGGTCGGGGGCGGCAAAGAGGGGGGTGATGACTAGGGGGGTGGATGTCATGGCGGGGGCCATGATATTTCCCCAGATGTCATGGCGCCTCTTCTTATTTCACTACGTCCCTGGCCCCCTCCCGCTGGGCCGCGCACGTGCCGCCGGTCATGGTTTGCACCCCCCCCCCCTCTTGGACACCCCCCTCTTGGCCGCTCCCGAAAGGGTGTGGTGACCACGGTACTCCAGATCCCTTCTTCATCGACCCTTGCCTAACAAAAACTGGAGCCCCCCTCCAAGTGCGACCTGATACGTATTCCGGAGCCCCCTCTTCGGCGGGGCGCACCCCCTAAGCTCCAATCCAAAGTCCAAAGAAAGCGCCCTAATAAACCAGACCCCCCCCCAGTTTCCAAAAAGGCGCCTTACAAAACCGGACCCGGGGGACGATCAATGAGGAATTTGGAGCAGTGCTTCGGGGGAGTCGGACGCCTGCGGCGGTTCCTGGTAGTTTTCCTGCCTCGGGCTGCGTCCCAGCAGCTGCGCCTCGCCGAGAGCGTTCCCCCGGGGTGCCAGCGTCGTCCCGTCCGGCCGCCGGAGGCCCCACTTCTGGCCCAGCACCAGCAGGGGTGTGTGGCGAGTCAGCGGGGATTCTCCCCGCCTCCTCCTCTTCCTCCTACCTCCTCCTCCTCCCTCCCTCCTCTCCTCCTCCTCCTCCTCCTCCCTCTCCTCCTCATCCTCCTCCTCCTCCTCCTCCTCCTCCTCCTCCTCCTCCTCCTCCTCCTCCTCCTCCTCCTCCTCCCTCCTCCTCTCTCCTCCTCATCCTCCTCCTCCTCTTCCTCCTCCTCCTCCTCCTCCTCTTCCTCCTCTTCCTCCTCCTCCTCCTCCTCCTCTTGGGTCACGGACGGGTCGTTCTCCGAGGATGCTTCTGGCGACCAGGGCGTCCCTGGCACCGGAGCACTGTGCGGTGGCGGACCGTGCGGCGAGGCCACTGGGCTCTTTGAGGTCACCGCACGGTCCGGTCTGTCACCGCACCGTCTTGGGACCCCCGGTGTCCGCCATCCCCTGCGCCACCATGAATGGACCTGAGACGCAGCAGGGGGAGGAGGGCGAGGTGGGTGAGGTAGGGGAGGAGGATGATGATGATGATGAGGAGGAGGAGGAGGAGGAGAAGGAGGAGGAGGAGGAGGAGGATGAGGCACCACCCGGGGAAGCGGTCGGAGCCCCCTTGGGCTGCGGGTCGACACAGAAGTAATATCGGCGGATGTTTCTGAGGCCTCGTGCCCTCGCGCCTCGCCGACGGCCCGGAGCTCTCACTGCGCCGACCCCGCGGGTGCCAGCGTCCGAGGCTGATCAGAGGATTCGCCGCAAGCCCTCGGCCTCCCTGACACAGGCAGGGCGCTGGATCGCCGCTCTGTGGCGGGGTATCGGGAGGCACGGCGCGGGCGTGATGTGGTCGTCGGGGGCTGCGTCGCCGCCATCAGCTCGCCGTTTCTTCTATGGGTGCAGTGGTTCGGCATGCCTCACACCAGCTCGCCGCACACCACTTGCCTCACACCCCCCACCCCCCACCCCCCCACCCGACCAGTCACATGGCCATCCAGCCGCCAAGCCGACTCCGAGTATCAGCAGACGCAGCAGAGCAAGCGTCGCCGCCCCAGGAGGGCGACCCGGGCGCCGCGACTTAACAGCGTGGCTCTGCGGCTGCATCCTGGCGCAGCCGATCCGGTTTGCTTCCGGCTCTGTGCCGACGCAGCCCAGCCTGGCGCACATTTCGGGGGCGGCAAAAGAGGGGGGTGATGACCAGGGGGTGTGGATATCATGGCGTGGGCCATGATGTTTCCCCAGATTCCATGGCGCCTCTTCTTATTTCATGACGTCCCTGGCCCCCCCCTGGGCCGCGCACATGCCGCCCGGCCATGATTTGCGCCCCCCCCCTCATTCATGGACGCCCCCCCTCTTTCTGGCCGCCCCCGAACCTCCTGATCCGATCCGATGTCCTGGGTCGACTGCTGACTGATCCCGCCCCTGCGTGCCGCACCGCTTCGCCCCGCACCGCTTCGCCCCGCCCCGCTTCCGCCCGCCGGGGTCCGCCCGCCCGGCCCGCCTGTGCCGAGGTCCGCCCGCTGGCCCCGACCGTTCGGGCCCGCTCGCCCGCTTGCTTGCGCTCTCACTCTCCGCCCGCCCGACCCCGCCCTTTGGGGTTAAGTCGGGCCTGTCCCTCTGCAGGAGGGATGTCCAAGAATAGTCAAAACATGCATCGTCTGGGGACGACTTTTTCAGATTTTGTTGTGCGGCAGTGTCTCTGTATTTGTTCGACCGTTCTTAATTCTTCGTCCAGAATCCGCCTGATGGAGGCCATGCCCGACCTAACTTTAGGGTCCGCCCGCCCGACCCGCCCGTGAAGGTGCGCCCGCCAGGCCCGCCCGGGAGCGCGCGCCCGCCAGCCCGCACGCAACTATATGGCCCGTTCGCTCGTCTGCTTTTGCGAGGCCGTCCCGCCCGCCCGACCCGCCCGCGAGGGCTTGGAAAGCGGAGGGGGATGATGATGGCGATGCTGATCATGACGAAGAAGAACACGATTGATAATGCGAATGATAGTAAGAACAATAATGAATAAGAAGAAGAAAAACCAGAAGAAGAATAATAATAATAATATAGTGAAGAAGAGGAGGAGGAGGAGGAGGAGGAGGAGGAGGAGGAGGAGGAGGAGGAGGAGGAGGAGGAGGAGGAGGAGGAGGAGGAGGAGGAGCAGCGAAGCGCGAGGCGGTGCCCTGCGCGGCCTCTCTGCCACGGGGGCCAGGTGCTCCTGTCGTACGCGCTCGCCCTCATCCAGAAGGCCAACGGCGACGAGGAGGAGGAGGAAGACGACGGCGAGCTGCCGGCGATCCCCGAGGAGGCGGCGAGCGCGCCCGCGCGCGCGCGCGGCGCGGCGCGGCCGAGCCGGAGGAGGATCCGCTGCGCTGCCCAGCGAGAGCCGGCTCACCCCCACCAGCGGCTGCGCGCAAGAGCTCGTTACCAGCCTCGAACGTATCCCTGTCCCTAAGATTGACACGCCAAAAGGCGGTGACAATCTCAGGGCTTCGCCCCCAGAAAAGAAGGGAATCCCTAATATTGTCATCGTGATGAGGAGGTGCCCAGCATGGGGATAGGGATATGTTCCAGGCTGGTAAGTTCGCTCCGTCCCCGGCCGGTGCGCGCGGACGCCTGCGCCAGTGCCCTAATTAGATGCTTCCTCGTGCCTCGGGGCGCGTTCCAGGAGCCGCGCCTCGCCGAGGGCGCGCCGGGGGGGGGGGTGCACAACGTCGCCGCGAGCGGCCGTACGGAGCACAAGTTGTGAAGGCTTCCTAGATGCACTCCCGCTTCGTAGAAGGCGCCGGCCTTCTCTGTAGACGTGAGGCCGGGGCCTCCTAGGAAGCAGGGTGTGTTTCTAAGACGCTTTCCCTTCCTCCTCCTACCCTGAAGACGGGCGTGTCCCTCTACAGGAGGAATATTCAAAAAGTGTCCCAGAATAGTATGGGGACGATTCCTCGACTACTTGGGGGTATTGTTTTGATATGTTTGGGTTTTTTTTACATGCGAGGACATGAGAGGACATGAGAGGACAAGGGAGGAGCGGTGTGCATTTGTATTAGTTAAGTGCACGTGTGGGGGGGAGGGAAGGAGAGGAGAGGACAGGAGAAGACATGAGAGGACATGAGAGGACAGGGGAGGAGCGGCGTGTTTTAGTTAAGTGTACTAGTTAAGTGTAGTAGTTAAGTGTTCGCGTGGGGGAGGAAGGAAGGAGAGGAGAGAGAAGGAGAGCAGAGGACAGGAGAGGACATGAGCACATGAGAGGACATGGGGCGGACCGGCGTGTCTTAGTTGAATGCATCAGTTAAGTGTATTCGTTAAGTGCACGTGTGGCGGAGGAGGGAAGGAGAGAACAGGAGAGGACATGAGAGGACAGGGGAGGAGCGGCGTGTATTAGTGAAGCGTGTGAGTTAACACTCAAACACTCAACTCATACACTCAAACACTCAACTCATACACTTAACTAATACACTTAGCGAATACACCTAACGAATACACCCAACTATTACACTCAACTGTTACACTCAACTAGTACACTTAACTAACTCACTTATGTAATACACTTAACTAATACACTCAACCTAATACACTTAACTAATACACTTAACTAATACTGATAACGAATACACTCAAGTAATACATTCAACTAATACGCTTAACTCATCGACTCAACTAATGCACTTAACTAATACACTCAACTAATACACTGAACTAATACACTTAACGGGTACACTTAACTAATACTTTGAACTACTACACTTAACTCATACACTTAACGAATACACTTAACTAATACACAAACCTAATACACTCAACTAATACACCCAACTACTCCACTTTACTAATGCACTTATCTAATGCACTTAAGTACTACACTTAACGAATACACTTAACTAATACAATCAACTACTACACTCAATTTCTACACTTAACTCATACACTTAACTAAAGCTCTCAATCAACTACCACACGCAACTCATACACTTAACGAATACCTTCAACTAGTACATTCAGCTGATACACCTCACTAATACACTCAATTGATACAATCCCGCTCAACTAGTACACTCAGCTCATACACTTAACTGGTACACTAGATTAATACACTTAACTGTTACACTTAACGCATACACTTAACTAATACACGGAACGATTACACTTAACTAATGCATTTGATTATTACACTCAACTCATACACTTAACCTATACGCTTAACTAATACACTTAACGAAACACACTTAAACACTTAACTAATACACGTAACGAATACACTTAACTAATACACTTCACTAATACATTCAACTAATACCTCTGCGACGACCCTTCAGGTGATAAGGAGGTTCGGGGGGGAGGAGGAACCAACGTCTCACTCGATCGGTCTCACGATCGATCTCACGATCGGTCTCGCTCGATCGATCTCACTCAATCGATCTCACAATCGATCCCACTCGATCTTTTTCATTCGATCGATCTCACAATCGATCTGTCTATCGATCGCTCAATCGATCTCGCTATCGATGTCACAACCGATCTCACAAGCGATCTCGCATTCGGTCATACTATCGATCTCCCTAACGATATCACATTCGATCTCGCAATCAACGTCATTTCCATCATCATCACCAACATCATCGTCATCAACGTCATCAACATCATCATCATCAACGTCGTCAGCATCTTCGTCATCATCAGCGGGGCACCATCATCATCATCACCTCATCACCATCATCATCAACATCATCATTATCACCATCATCCTCATAATCGGGACACCATCATCGTCATCTTCCCCATCATCAGCATCATCATCATCGGGGCACCGTCATCATCGTCATCGGAACACCAACATCATCATCGATATCATTTCATCAGCATCATCATGAACAACATCACCAACATCATCATCATCATCACCGGGACACAATCATCATCATCCTCATCAGCAACATCATCATCAATAGCATAATCAGCATCGGGACAACATCATCATCGTCACCATCATCATCACCAGCATTATCATCATCGAGCTACCATCATCATCAACATCATCATCATCACCATCACCGAGACACCATCATCAAAGTCATCATGATCACCTCCTTGTCATCCTCATCATCAACATCATCATCATCGCCGGGACACCATCATCGTAATCATCATTGTCAGCTCCCACATCACGATCTCAATTGGGACACTATCATCACCATCACCCTCATCATCAACAGCATCATCATCAACCTCATCATCATTATCATTATCGGGACACCATCATCATCATCTCATCATCATTTCATCATCATTAACATCATCATCGGAACACCATCATCATCACCATCATCAGCAACATTCTCACCATGAATGTCATCATCATCATCGGGGCAACATCATCATCACCACCATCATCATCACCATCAACATCGCCAACATCATCAAAATCGGGACACCCTCATCATCACCACCATCACCATCACCATCATCATCATCAACACCATCGACATCATCATCACCGTCATCATCGAGAAACCGACGGGACACCGGCGGGACACCGGCGGGACACCGCGCCCCACCGGACGCCGGAAGGGAGTCATTTGGTGTGGCCGCGCCTCAGCCACAGCGGGACACTGGCGGGACACCGCGCCCCACCACCGGACGCCGGACGGGACTCATTTGGTCCGGCCGCGTTTCAGCCACAGGAGACTTTCTTCTCGCCCGCCCACGCAGCTTCGGCTCGCCCGCACGCACGGCACGCACGAACACGAAACCGAAACCGATTTCCCGGTAGGGGGGCTCTCCGTTCCACTTCGATATCGCCCCTTCATCTCCGACACTTACCCAATACACTTAACTAATGCACTTAAGTACTACATGTAACTAATACACTTAACTAACACACTTAACTAATACACTTAACTACATACACGCACCACCTTGCACTTACAACCACCACGGCACCGTACACTAACAGCAGAGTGTCTGGCCCACCAACCACGCTTCGGCGCGACAAGCTATCCATTTCGTGGCCCCCATCAGCCTCCTGCCCCGCGGAGCGGGGCGAAGACATAGCGTGTCGCCAGGGCCGCTGCCACGACACGCGGAGCAAAAAGTTCCCGACCTCATCTGCGACGAGGGCAGACAAGGATGGTGCAAAGCACAGCCCGTCGCCGCGAATTACATAGTACTGTTTGAGCGTGTGGTCCAGCCGATTTTTTCGACAGTGGGCCTTCCGTGAGGCCCGAGACGTCGTCTCTTTGAACAAGTTCGATAAGACAGATCGGGCAACCTTTAACCTTGTGAGGTCATCCAGAATGCAACGCAATGCTCGTGCTAATCTACTCGCGGAGTTTCACAGGGACCCGCCGATGTCAGATCGAGCCTGTACTCGCTGCGTCAATCGTTTCGAAGACCGCCCTGCACCTCGCAAGGGAATCAGCGAGGTCTCGTCGAGGTCTGCGTGGCACTCCACTCCGCCCACGAAAGTCGCAACAGTTTTGCAGGTGGTGGTCCCCAGAAGAGTTCCAGAGGAGGAGGGGGAGGAGGTGGAGGAAGAGGGAGGGGCAGAGGCGCATGATGATAATGGTGGTGATGATGCTGATGTTGATGAGGATGACGATGAGGGTGAGGGTGAGGATTCGGGTGAGGGTAGGGGTGATGTTGATGATGATGGTGATGGTGATGCTGATGATGATGATGATGATGATGATGATGATGATGATGATGATGATGATGATGATGATGATGATGATGATGATGATGATAGTGATGCTGATGATGGTGGTGGTGGGTTTGATGATGAGGATGAGGATGAGGATGAGGATGATACTGCTGATGCTGATGATGATGATGCTGATGATGATGATGACGATGATGATGGCGGTGGTGGTGATGACGATGATGAGGAGGAGGATGCTGATGATGATGAAGCGGAGGCGGTTCCCTTCCACGCGTGCTCGCCACACCTGCGAGGTCCACTGAGCGGCGACCACTTTCACGCGCGCTGGGCCGTGCGCAGGGCCCGTTCAAATTCGTCGTCGGGGGCCTGGCCGCGAGGGCCGCGTCGATTGGCGTGGAGCCCGCCGCCGCATGTGTCCATGGAGTGCTTGATCCACTTATTTTAACGCCGGAAGAACGGTATAAAATAAACTTGTTCGCCGTCGGGGACACCTGCCCCAGGGCGGCTGGAAAGTTTATACCCTTACGGTGGCACCGTAGGGGTATAAACTTCCCAGCCGCCCAGGGGCAGGTGTCCCCGACGGCGAAAAAGTTTATTTTATACCGTTCTTCGCTCGCTGATTATTGAAGCCCCGAACCCTCGTGGCAGCACATGCCGCGCCCTCCGCCTCGACCTCTAGTCCTCGCTCCGGCGGCCCACCCGCCCCAAAGGCAGGAGCTCCGGGCACGAGGCCGCTAGGGCCACCCGCGCCGCCCGGCGGGCGCCCAAGGGTTACAGTCGGGGCGCTGAAGAGGAACCCCTTTTCGTTTGGGAGGGGCTCAGTGCTCCTTACTTGTTTTGCAGCTCGCCCTAGGTTTTCCTGAGGTCTTCGATCGGAATTCGAAGCTTAACTTATGGAAAAAAGGGGCCTCGTTCCTTATTTAGGGTTCCTTAGGTCAACACTCCGACTGTGCCCCTCCAAGCTCGGGGCCCCAGGGCCTTGGTGCAGCTGCCCTCAGCGTCTGAAGCCCTGGCTGGTGCGGCTGGGGCTGGTGCTGCCGCTGTCGCTGTAGCTGTCTGGCGGGAGTCCCCCGCGGCGGCGCAGGAAGCTCTTGACCGACCGAACGAAGCCGTAGAGCATCTAGTCGGCCTCGGCCGAGCGGTCGGGGTCGGTCGCCGCCAGCCTGCCCACAGGGTTCTGCCGCCTTGGCCCAGCGCGCGGCTGCTCGCTCGCTGAAGGGCCTTGGCTGCTGGGTAGCGCCACTTGCTGTGCCGCCGCCCGTTGGCGCCTGGGGTTCTCTCCGCCAGCTCCACCATCTGCTTGTGCCGACAGCTGCTACGCCTGGGTCGCCTTGAGCGCTGCACTGGGCGTCGTCGTCCACGCAGTGCCTCTCGTACTGTCTGGGGCGCGTGTGCGCGTGGCGTGCGCACACGTGCACTCACTCCTCGTGGTCTTGCACTGCGCGGGTGTCGTGAACGTGCGGTGGCCATCCTCAGCCCGAGACGGCGCGGGGTCCGCCTCGCACCTGCAGCGCCCACCTGCATCGCGCCCCATCCTCCCTCGCCTGCATCGTCGGGCGCCCCTGCAGCGCAGAGCGCGGGGAGAGCGGGGGGGGGGGGCTGGGCGTCGCGGCGAACCGATCGCCCCCAGCCGTGCCGTGCGCGCGGTCCCCACGGAGGGGAGCCGTTGGCGGCGGCGTCCCGCGACGACTGGGGTGCCCTCAGGAGCAGCCGGTTGCGGTTCCCGTGCTCCTCCAGCCCCCCCCCTGTACTCGCGATAGTTGTCGATGGTCCTGTGGATCTCCTCCTGCCAGCTGGCGCGGTCGAGAAGGGGCAGCTGGTAGAGGATGCCTGTCATGTCCTGCCTGTCGCCTGACCCGCAACGCCACGCTGGCGAGCGCGCATCGATCGCAGCCTGCATGGGACCCTCGAAGTCTTGCGGCAGGCCCGTGGCGACATGGGGGGGCAGGCCCAGCATGCGGAAGATGTGCGGGACGCAGAGGTCCATCCGCTCGCCTGCGTCCTCGCGCGGGTTGGGGTTGCTCGGGAGGGAAGCCCAGCGCCGCGCTCGGCACCCCAAGACCCGCTTGTGTCTCTTCAGGGCCCGTGCTTCCATGCACCCTGCCTCGCGCCGCTCACGGTCCTGGTCGACCTGGAAGCTCTGGACCTCCCCATCGACCGAAGCGGCCGGCGGCCCCAGCTCGAGGCGAACCTGCAAGAAGCAATCGCCCAGGTGCATCAGCTTCTGGCCCCTGTAGTTCGCCTTCGGCCCCTTGATGGGTCGAGCGCGCGCCTGGGCCCGGAAGCTGAAGCTCGGGGGACCCCGCGGCCCCGGTAGAGCGCCTCGTCGTCAGGGCCGATCTGGGACGCCCAGACGAGCTCGTCCTCCACGGCCGCGCACATGTCCCGGTGAGGTCGTCGAAGCCGCCGCTCTGGTCGATCTGCGCCCGCACCACGTCGTGCTCCCGTGCCTGGTCGGGAAGCGGCCCGAAAGGCCGAAGCTTGGGGAAGGCTTTCGTGCCCTTGGCCCTGAAGGACCGGCCTACGTCGCCGTAGCGCTTCAGGGATCACCGGACCGCCGTGCGAGGCCTGCAAGGGTTGGCGAGGCCGTGCTTGGCCACGTCGAGGCGCTTGCACCCAGTGACCTGATCCAGCATCTCCGCGCTGACGATGAACCAGTCCAGTTCTGAGGCCTCCTTCTCTCTCGAGAGAGAGCTGGCAAGTGCCCTCCCCGAGTCGACAACGTAATTAGCCCCTCACCTTGCCGAGCCAGTGCGCTGCGCGCTCGTGGAGCCTGTCGGGCTCGACGTTCCAATCGCCAGCCAGGATCCAGGGCTTCTCCGAGCGGGCGAGCAGCATGCCCGCGCCCTTCACGACCGACTTGCTGATCTTGCCCACGCCGTCGTTGCTCGAGTGCACGGAGCCGAGCAGGAAGCCACCGGGTACTGCTCCCCGCTGCTGTGCGTGACCGTGGCCCTGCCGTCGCTCGCGCAGCAGCTCTCCCTGGTGCCTGGCGCTTCGGGGCCGCACATGCCAGGGACCGAGCGGACGGCGATGCCGGTGCCGCCGCTGGACGCCCCGTGCGCCTTCGCCCCAGCAGCCACGACGCTTGGGGCCGAGGACTGCACCCCATCCAACCTGACGGCACCACTGCTCCTCCTCCTCCTCCTCCTCCTCCTCCTCCTCCTCCTCCTCCTCCTCCTCCTCCTCGATCGTGCGGTAGCTGCTGAGGTGGTGCTCCTGGGAGCAGAGGGCGTCCCCGAGGCGAAGCCGAGGCGCCATCTCCTGCCGAGGGTCGCCCTGCTCGCCCAGGTGTGTGGTAATTCAACGGGCCCACGGCCGCCGCCGTGGAGGCTGGCGATGGCAAAGTCAGGCTTGCTCCCCTGCCCTTCCCTCTTCGCTTGAGCCCCACAGTGCGGAGCCCCTGGAGGAGTTCTGCCGCCCTGGCCCGCCGAAGGGCGGCGGCATTTTCTCGGCGGGGTCGTTGCGCCGTGCAGCGCCTCCTTCCGCGCCAGCCCCTGCTGCTTCCTCCTCCTCGTCGCGCTTCTCCTCCACGGTGTCGTCGACGAGGGCGCCCAGAGCGCAGTCCTCGTGGTGCAGCTCCTGTTCGTTTCCGCTGGCTATGCGCCTCGCTCCGCTGCTGAGCCGGCGGCTGCGACTCCATGCGCCAGACGTCGGAGCTCGCGAACGTGTGCCTCCCACTGCTCTGGGAACTCTGGGTTGAGCATGCCTGAGGCCTGGTCGAGGGCTGCGAGGAAGGTGTTGGCACGCTGTGCCTTGCTGAGGGATTCGACTCCGCGGGGGTTGCTTGTCGCTGCTGGGGTTGCCGCCGTTGCCGCTGCCCCAGCGCCAATACCTCATCCGCGAATGCTTGACCAGGAGATTGTCAATGAGGGCATGAAGCTCCTTCTCGGTGGTCTTTCTCTACTCGCGTTTGCCCTCGAGCTCGACCATGGCCTGGAGAGCATGGATCTCATGCGTGATGCCGTCTGCCGCTCAAGCGCCTCCGTCCTGCTCTGATGGTTCTTCTGCTTTCGCTCCAGCTCTCTGAGCTGAATGCATGTGCGCTTCTCCCCAGCGAGCTCCAATTCGAGTTGCTCTGCCTCCCGACGCTTGGCGGCGAGGACCTCTTCCGCACCTTCCGCACCCTCGAGCTTCGTGATATCGCTTCGTAGCTTGCCAAGACGACATACACGCTCATTGCTGTTGCGCGGCTGGGTGTCGGCTGCCTGACCTGTTCCGACGTCACTGCCAGGTGCGTGTCCTCCTGCTTCGAGCTTCTTGACCTTCCGCCACAACTGGTTGAGCTCGTGGCGTGCCTTGGCGTCCAGTTGTGGAATCCCTGGCTTTGGGCTGGCTGCGTGCGCCGCCATTGCTGCCTGTCGGACCGCCGTCTGGTTGGCCTCCTCTGCCGCCCCTGCCGCCGCCACCACGCGCAGCACCTCGAGCACCACCACCTCGTTCTGCCGTCGGTCGAGCCCGCGCGAGCAGGGCTCCCAATCGGGCGGCTGGGGCCGAGCGTCGGAAAGGTTATGGGAATGAAAATACTGTGGCTGTGGATGCCTCGCTGAAAGCTTGGTCGATTTGGAATCTGACCCAAGAAGTGACCTGACGGCTAGGATCGGCCACATGGGACCAGGCACCTGCCCTGATCGCGCCATCTTGCGCCAAACCGGCTACGAAAGCGAGGATGATGATGTTGATGATGGTGATGTTGATGATGACGGTGGTGATGATGAGGATGATGATGACAATGACGATGGTGACGATGTTTGTGATGGTGGTGATGATGATAATGACGATGCTGGTGATCATGATTATGTTCATGATGACGATGCTGACGATGGTGATGATGATGGTGATGCTGGTGACGATGATGGTGGTGATGATGGTGTCATCTTCATGATTATCAACACCGTGATCATCAGCATAATCATCATACTCAGCATCATCACCATCATCGCCATCATGGACATGATGCTAATGCTAAGTTTCATGATGATGAGGGGGAGGAGGAGGAGGAGGAGGAGGAGGAGGAGGAGGAGGAGGAGGAGGAGGAGGAGGAGGAGGCGGGAGACGGCAGGAAGGACCCACGGAGCTTGCTTGACACATGCAGTGCTGTATTCGAGACGCGGACCCAAACATGGCGAGGGTTAGGCAACATCACATTGTCGGATGTCTGGGGGCGCAGACTAGCAAGAGAGACCTCGCAGCGAGGGTCCCCAGCGGAGCCACGGCAGATTCGTTTGGAGTCCGCCAGGCAGACGATGACGTGTTCGGGAATGTTTGAGATTGGCTAGGGGCACCCGGTCAGATCTTGAAGAGTGGCCCAAGTTCTTATCGCCCACGTTCGTATCGCCAGCTAGGTACACACATGCAGACAGCAGGAAAACAGCATATTGGTGATCATGCGGAGATGCCGTGTCGCATCCGTCGTGCATATTTATCTTGCGCGAGTGTGGCGTGCGTCGCCCAGGCCAGTATGCGAGCTGTCGAGGGTGTTCCCGGCAAGGTCGCCAATCGTTTCGCTTATTTTGATTGGAAGCAGTCAGTGGGCAGCATTTGTTGGAGGCGTTGGGGGGCATGGCAAAGGAGGGGGTTCATGTCCGTTACCTCAGAACTTGGGACGTGCTCTAGCATGTGCGTTCCCCAAACAGAGCTCGTCTCAATGAAATCAACTGTGGTGCAATGTAAAGGTTTTCGGATGCTGCTGGCGGTTCCTGGCCGTTCCCAAGCGCATAATATCTCCCCCTTCCACAGGGTCCCACCACATATTTTGGCTCCCGCTCCATACATTGGGTCTCGCTCCATACGGTCCCGCCCCATCAGCTCCCACCCTATCGGGGTCCTACCCAAGGGTCCCACAGCAATTGCACTCCATAGATTGCACCACGTAAGTTGCCATCTGAGCATCGAATATTGAAGCGCGTAGACTGCACTTCGCAGATTCCCCCTTCTAAGGGATCTAAGATTCGACTCACCTGCCGAGGCCGGACTCGATCGCTTCCCCCCGCGTCGTTTGCCACTATATGTGCACACGATGCACGATCGTTCATCCAATGCGATTGTTGTTTCAGGCCATCTCAGACACCGAGGCATGATTTGGGTTGTGATGTGGAGTTATGGTGTCGAGCCCCCTTGGCCAGTGTTGCACCCCACTCGCACACGACTCACCGTTCTCACTACTGCGGGCGGTCTTCTTGCAACCTTGACCGCGGTCACGGGCGGGCGCCCACACCCCAGCCCCCATGCTTGGGCGAAAGGGGGGGGGGCGCCGCGCGACGCGCAGCGGTGCGGGGCGACGCGAGCCCCATTGATGGGCGCGAGGCGTCGCGCCGTCCGCCCTGCTTGCACTTGGCATCGCTCGGACGTGTGCATTCTTCTCTCGGCGAGGACCATCGAGGAGCATCCTTGATCATTTGTCGAAAAGCCACGCACGAAGCCGAACAAAAACACAGAGAATGGACGTCCGAGCGCTGGCGAGTGCATGGGCGAGCGCGCGAGGGGGCGCGTGCGCCGCCCAGGGCTGGGAGGGGCGCCGCGCGCGCTCGGCTGCGTGGGCGTCCCGCCGCTCACCGAGCGCGTTCTGCTACTCGCAGAGTGCCTACTCGCGAACGTCCGAGAAAAAGTGTCTTCCTCTGTGCTCCTCCTCCTCCTCCTCCTCCTCCTCCTCCTCCTCCTCCTCCTCCTCCTCCTCCTCCTCCTCCTCCCCCCCCACGGCGGACCCAGGGCATTCGCGAGTGGTTACTCTGCGAGTCGTGGCGCGCGTTTGTCCAGCCACGCTCGGCGAGGGGCGCCTGCGGTGCGGCTTTTTGCCCACCCGCCGCTCCCTCGGTGGCCCCTGCGGCTTGGGGCGTTCCTGCGCTGGGCGCTCGGAGCTAAGGCCAGCGACGCAGGTTGGCGCCCGAGCGCGACGGTCGGCTCGGGGGCACCGCTGCGCGCGGCCAGGGTCGGGCGCCGCACCCATCGTCGCGGCGCGACGCGCCGCCGTCGGGCGTCCGCGCCGAAGCTCCGCGATGCAACCAATGTCTTACACTTGAGAGCGGCCCTTCGCCGGAGTGAATTTCGGTGCGGGTCCATGGGGGTCCCCCGATCGCCGAACGTAGCGTCTTGCGCGCATGTGTGTTGGTCCCCCCGCGGCCCCCCCAAAGCCGCGCACCCACCCAAGTTCACTCTCACCCAGGGTCACTCTTGCGTGCAGCCGACATTCGGGCGTTGGGACGCCGATGGCGCAACTTGCGAGATCTGGCGCACCCGGATATTCCCGCCACGGCGCAATCACCATCTCTTCCCTGACTGGACGCAGGCTGGTCGTCGCTACTGCCCGGATCCCCCAAAGCAAACCGAAGGCCCCTGAAGGCCACCGCAACAGTGTTCATTTACAGCGTTCCAAAAAAAACATTTCGAACGGAAATCTCATGTTCGGATGGCCCATTCCCGCTCCGAATCCTACCTGCCGGGTGGTTTTCGGGTGGGGTTCAAACTTGTGGGTGGGGAAGGGTGTACGCTCAACTGATATTGTTTTCCAGCGTCCCACCGCACACCGTTGGAAATCCCGTTTTCGGGTGGCCCATTCCCGTCCCGAATCCAAAGCTACAGGTGTCCTCGCGGTAGCGTTGCGGTGGTTTGGTAGTGTGTAATGTGATAACATCGGAGTTAGTGCAACGCTGCGCGCGCGAGGATCTTATACATTGGCGAGTGGCCCCCACTGTCATTTTAACGACTCAAAGACCATTTGTGTTTTCACTAGTGGTTTTCGTCCGTTCGGTTGATTCACCGATTGTCTACCATCCGTCCAAAATCACAGGGACGTTCAGAAACACAGGGAAGTGGGGCTTCTGGTGACATCCCAGGTGGTTAGTGAGTGGTTATTGGGTGATAAATAGGGGCCAGCCGTCAGGTTTTAGGGAAGCGCGCGACACGTGCCAATCAAAACGCGCGCACGCGACAAGGGCCGAGCCTGGCGAAGCGACGGCGAGGACCACACGAACGGCACCACGCATGTAGCACCACACGTTTTGCATTACATCGGTTGAGCCACATTTTTCGGTTATATATTCAAGTGCAGGAATTCATTGTGTGTTGGGGGTTCGCCACGTATGTAGCTGATGGATTGCGCCGCGTAGCTTCCACATCCCGAGTGCAAGCATCCATTGTTTGGGACTCGCGCTTTCAACATGTCGGGGTGCGCCCCGTGCTAAAGCAGACCCTGGCGCTCGCCGCCTCGTGCGTTTGATGTCCCGTGCTTGCGACATGTCCCACCTCATGTCGGCGCCGCCTCCATTTCGCATGGCGCGCGGGGTCAGTGGCTGGCTGTGCAATACATCAAGTGATGCAGTGCATGGCGCTTGCAACGTGACTGAAGTTGCAACGCGATCCACCGCTAATGCTCGGCCAACAGTTGGCAATAACTCAAAATTGACCGAACCACCCCAACCCAAGCCGAAAACCTTCCGAAGGCCCCCCCCCGAACAAAACCAATTGTTGAGTGGGGGGATGCGCGGACTGGTATCGTTTAACAACTTCCGGAGCGGGCCCACCACCGCAACTTCATCTTCGGGTGGCTCGCTGCCGACCCCGAGTCCAGCTAGGTGGCCTTCGGGTGAGATCGGTTCGATTCTTGAGATGTTGGCGTCGGATTCTTGGAATTGCACATGGGGAAGTCGGATGCGGCCTATCCAGGCGTGAGAGACTGCCACCCAGGGTCGAGACTGGTCTGGGCCAGTGTCTTGTGAGCTGTGCCTCCGCCTCTGCCTATTCCTCGCCTTCCGCCGCCTGCTGCCCTCCCAGAGTTCCCTTTTGCCTTTCCTCCAGGGCTGGACCTAAACGGTGTCTTGGCGATTTCGTGGGCCGTTTTCGCTTCGACTTCGTTTTGCAGTAGAGGTGGATTGAAGACAAAACGAGGGAAACACGAACACAAAACGAAAACGAGCAACACCGTTTAGGTTCAGCCCTGGTCTGGGCCACTGTTTTACGAGCTGTGCCTCCGCCTCTGCCTGTGCCGCCTCTTCCGCCGCCTGCTGCCCTCCCAGAGTTCCCCTTCGCCTTCCCCTTGGCATCGCTCGGACGTGTGCCTTTTTCCTCGGCGAGAACCCTCGAGGACCACCCTGGACCGTCGAGCTAAAGAAACGCGCACGAAACCGAAGCATGCACGGGAAATGGACGCCCGAGCGACCTCTGCCTGGCCGCCGACGCAACGAGTGCTTCCCCTTGGCATCGCTCGGACCTGTGCATTTTTTCTCGGCGAGAACCCTCGAGGACCATCCTGGACCATCGAGCTAAAGAAACGCGCACGAAACCGACAAATGCACGGGAAATGGACGCCCGAGCGACCTCTGCCTGGCCGCCGGCGCAAAGAGTGCTTCCCTTGGCATCGCTCGGACCTGTGCATTTTTTCTCGGCGAGAACCCTCGAGGACCACCCTGGACCATCGAGCCAAAGAAACGCTCACGAAACCGAAGCATGCACGGGAAGTGGACGCCCGAGCGACGGCAGTGTCCCTCCCTCCGAAAGCCTTCGCCTCCGCGCGGGATCGCGGCCGCTGGAGGCCGTCGTGCAGGCACCGGGCGGGAAGGCCCGCGTGCGGGCTCGAAGTCCCGTCCCCCCTCCTCCTCCTCCTCCTTCTCCTCCTTCTCCTCGCCCTCCCGCATCCTCTCCCTCCCTCCTTCCCTCCCTCCCTCCGTCCGTCCTCCCTTCCCTCCCTCCCTCCCTCCGTCTCCCTCCCTCCCTCCCTCCTTCCCTCCCTCCCTGCGCTCTCCCCCCCCCCCCCGCAGCCCCGCGGGCCGCCCTCCCAGGAGTCCTCCGACGACACCGGGCGGCCGCGGGCAGCCTCGACGACCTCGAGCAGAGGCGGCGCGGCGCGCCCTCGGGGGGCAGCTGCGGCAGCGTCAGGGGGGGCGGGGGGGCAGGTGCACGCGCCAGAGGATATAGGATAGAAAAGTGCCTCCTCCTCGTCCTCCTTCTCCTCCTCCTCCTTCGCATCCTCCTTCGCCTCCTCCTCTCCTCCTCCTCCGCCTCCTCTTCCTCCTCCTCTCCTCCTATCCTATCCTCCTCCTCCTCCTCACTCGAATAGGAGAGGTCGCCGCTGTTAAGCTCGAGCGTCGACGCATATCTGCTTACTGCATAACGAAAACCCCGCAATAGACATCTGATTGCCGCCATGCTTCCTCTCGTACGGTCTCCAAACCCCGCAGTTTACTTGGTAGAGGAGCCGGGAGGGATCCCAGCTCGTGATCCACGGAACGTGCGAAGAGCGCGGTGTCAACGCACATATGCACTTCCTTTCATCTCCGCATCGATACCACCCTCCATTCCGTGAATTTGCTTGTGGTTGTGGAGTCTTCGTGGTAGTAGTAGTAGTAGTAGTAGTAGTAGTAGTAGTAGTAGTAGTAGTAGTAGTAGTAGTAGTAGTAGTCGTAGTAGTCGTAGTAGTAGTAGTAGTAGTCGTAGTAGTAGTCGTAGTCGTAGTCGTAGTCGTAGTCGTAGTATAGTAGTAGTAGTAGTAGTAGTAGTAGTAGTAGTAGTAGTAGTAGTAGTAGTAGTAGTAGTACTACTAGTAGTAGTATAAGTTAGTAGTAGTAGTAGTAGTAGTAGTAGTAGTAGTAGTAGTAGTAGTAGTAGTAGTAGTAGTAGTAGTAGTAGTAGTAGTAGTAGTAGTAGTAGTAGCAGCAGTAGCAGTAGCAGTAGCAGTAGTAGTAGTAGTAGTAGTAGTAGTAGAGTAGTAGTAGTAGTAGTAGTAGTAGTAGTAGTAGCAGTAGTGGCAGTAGTGGCAGTCGTGGTATTAGTAGTTCTAGTAGTACTAATAGCCGTCGTAGTAGTCGTAGTAGCCGTAGTAGCCGTAGCTCGAATATCTGCTTATTGCATAACGAAAACCCCGCAATAGACATCTGATTGCCGCCATGCTTCCTCTCGTACGGTCTCCAAACCCCGCAGTTCTACTTGGTAGAGGAGCCGGGAGGGATCCCAGCTCGCGATCCACGGAACGTGCGAAGAGCGCGGTGTCAACGCACATATGCACTTCCTTTCATCTCCGCATCGATACCACCCTCCATTCCGTGAATTTGCTTGTGGTTGTGGAGTCTTCGTGGTAGTAGTAGTAGTAGTAGTAGTAGTAGTAGTAGTAGTAGTAGTAGGTAGTAGTAATAGAGTAGTAGTAGTAGTAGTAGTATTAGTAGTAACCACTACTAATAGACTACTAGTACTACTAGTACAGGACGAGTACTACTAGTACTATACTAGTACAAGTACTAGTAGTGTAGTAGTAGTAGTAGTAGGAGTAGTAGTAGTATAGTAGTAGTAGTAGTTATCTAAATAAGTAGTAGTAGTAGTAGTAGTAGTAGTAGTAGTAGTAGTAGTCAGTAGTAGTAGTAGTAGTAGTAGTAGTAGTAGTAGTAGTAGTAGTAGTAGTAGTAGTAGTAGTAGTAGTAGTAGTAGTAGTAGTAGTAGTAGTAGTAGTAGTAGTAGTAGTAGTAGTAGTAGTAGTAGTAGTAGTAGTAGTGGCAGTAGTGGCAGTAGTGGCAGTCGTGGTAGTAGTAGTAGTAGTACTAGTAGCCGTCGTAGTAGTCGTAGTAGTCGTAGTAGCCGTAGTAGTCGTTGTAGTCGTAGTAGTCGTCGTCGTTGTAGTAGTCGTAGTAGTCGTGGCGGTGGTAGTGGTGTTAGTAGAAGTAGTAGTAGGAGTAGG